AAGGCTTGTTAAACTGAAATACCATTTTTGCTGAAGAAAATATGTAATTATGAGTTTAATGAGTAGACATAGTATATATTTATTAAACTTACAAAGATAGAAAAATTACTCCAGAAGGAGTAGAATAATTTTAGTAAAACTTAACAATCTATAAAACTCCAAGAGATTAAGTTCAAGTAGAGAGCAGTGTTCACAGTTACATACTTAAGAAGTGGGGGAAAATGACCCAAAAACCCAAAGGAAAAGGCTGAAGTAGCAGAGATAACTTATTCTAGAAAAATTAAAGCTGAGATCAAACATTTCCCAACATTTAAAAGGAACCTGAAAGGTTATTGCGTAGTTGTGTTCAAACAGAAAAGAGAGGACTTAATTGGCTTTAAGTGTACGGTGAGGGAGTTCGCCTAGATAGACTTTTTATGCTGGAAATACCATTCATCATTGTATTTTAAAGAAGATTAAACTAAGCACCTTCCTACAACATCTTAAGGACAAAAAGAATGAAAACCCTACCTAAAAGTGGAGCAGGGAGTCAAGGTCTCAAGCTTCTCTATAGCTATAGTCTTCATGATTTGATTTTTGTGATTTAACTTACGCAGTTGATATTTACCTACAGACAAAACATCTTGATTTAAAAAAGGGATCAAAACCTACGTAAAAACAGTGATTCTTTGCAAGGAGTTTCACTTGACTAACGCAATTTCCATTCCCACTATAATCAGGTCTGCGACGTCCACCAGAGAGATGGTCTCTGTTTTCAGAACTGTATCAATCAAGGCTTCCAGCACTTCTGTCCATGGTACTGAGGGGTGGGCAGCCCTTTGTCAGAAGAGCAGCAGCACTGAGAACTGGAACCGCTCTGTCTGTAGATGCACACGGAGTCCCTGCAGTCCCTCCAGTTGTGCTGAAGGATGGGGCTCCCTGATCCTAGGCTCTCATTAACTGCAAGACCTTGAGCAAGATGCTCACCAATTCTAGACCTTTGTTTCTTCTTCTGTGAAACACAAGGAAGAAACCACATACTGTCTGTGTAAGACCTAAGAGAGGGGCAGTGTGAATACTTGGTTATTCACACTGCCCCTCCAAAGGCATAGTATTGCCTTTACCTTATCTATACTAGACATGAAGTCAATCAGTATATGTTCCTAAATCGATCAGATGCAAAATATAGCTTTTAGAATCAAGCACAGCCATATTTACTGTATTTTAAGTGACATTATTGAAGCTACTCTGATAATTAGGTGGATTAAAAAATAACAGGAACAGTCTCTTGATACTACTTCTCAAGAATGATTTCAACCTCTTGTGATGAGTATGAATCACTGAATCATTCTGATTTTTCAAGAGTGGAAAAAAAAGAGAGTTAGGCACAAGGAAAGGAAACAGTTTATATCCATTTATGATAGAGGAAATAAAATTAAAGGTTCTCAAAGAGAAACTAAGACCTCAGGCAAAACAAGCAGTGAAGTTAAACTCCACCAGAACATCCTGAAAAACTCCTATCTGGAATCAATTACACAGTCCCACAGCCTCAGAGATGAAGTGTGCTCAGCGAGCTAGTTTTCTAAGGAAAGTGGAGGCAGCTCTTTAAACCCCAGGGAGAAAAACAGTACCACCAAATCCTATTTACTGTACTTCATGGCACACAGAGGCACACAGGGTCTACTCTTAACTGATGTTGGAGACTTTCTGGGGCAAGAGAATCTGGTTCCATTCAACCAACCTTGGCTAGCTGAAAATCCTGAGATGGATTTTATTTTAAAATATTAAGAGGAAAGCAAAGAAAATAGCTATGAGGCAAGCTCTGTGAACTGTGAAACAACCTGCCTGGCAGCTCACAAGTGTCGCCCAGCAGTGTGTTGATGATGTTGTACCAAAACAAACATATTGCTGGGCTGGGTTTAAATTTAGTGCCTGTGCCCCACAGAGGTAAGTGTCATATCAATAAACAGACCCCATCTTACACACAAAGTCAGAGACTTTGAAGGGGTAACAGACTAGTCATCTGGCCTTTTTTTTTTTTTTTTTTTTTTTT